GCACCAAAAACCATAAAAATACACAAGGAATAAATCAACAAAGGGTGAAAAATCTATACAGAAAACTATAAACATGAAAAGTGAAGAAGACACAAAGGAAAAGGATTCCATGCTCCTGGATAGGAAGAACAAATATTGTTAGAGAAATGCGATGCTACCCAAAAGAAAGCAATCTACATATTCAATGCAAAGAAATCCTATCAAAAGTAACACCAGCATTCTTCACAGAGCTAGAACAAAATAATCCTAAAGTGTATGGAACCAGAAAAAGACACCAAAATAATGACAATCTTGAAAAAAACCAAAAGCAAGGAGGCATCCACAATCCCAGACACAAGCTATACTACAAAGCTGTAATCATCAGACAGTATGTGTACTGGCACAAGAACAGACACTCAAGAATCAATGGAATAGAATAGAGAACCCGAAATGGACCACAAGCGTATGGCCAACTAATCTTTGACAAAAGCAGAAAAAATATCAATGGAATAAAGGCAGTCTCTTCGGCAAATGATGCTGGGGAAAACTGGACAAGCACTTTGACATGCAGAAGAATGAGACCTGGACCACTTTCTTACACCATACACCAAAAGTAAACTCAAAATGGATGAAAGACCTCAATGTAAGACAGGAAGCCATCCATCCTCCTGCAAGGAAAGCAGGCAAAACCTCTTTAGTCTTGCCCACATAACCCCACTCAATATAATATGTCTGCTCTGGAGCAAGGAAATAAAAGCTAAAAATGATACTGGGACACATAAATGGAAATAAAAAAAAGCTTCTGCACAGTGTGAAAAGAAATAATCAACAAAAGCTAAAAGCCGACAAGAATGGGAGAAGATGTTGCAAATGACATATCAGATGATAAAGGGTTAGTATCCAAAATCTACAAAGAACTTATCAAACTCAACACCCAAAAACCAAGTAATCCAATGAAGAAATGGGCAAAAGACATGCATAGACACTTCTCCAAAGTAGACATCCAGATGGCCAACCGACACATGAAAAAATGCTCAACATCACTCATCATCAGGGAAATACAAATCAAAACCACAATGAGATACCACTTTACACCTGTCAGAATGGCTAACATTAACAACTCAGGCAACAACAGATGTTAGCAAAGATGCGGAGAAAGAGGATCTCTCTGCATTGTTGGTGGCAATGCAAGCTGGTGCAGCCACTCTGGAAAACAGTATGGAGGGTCCTCAAAAAACTAAAAATAGAACTACCCTACAACCCAGCAATGGCACTACTAGGCATTTATCCACGGAATACAGGTGTGCTGTTTCGAAGGGACACATGCACCTCCATGTTTATAGCAGCACTATCAATAATAGCTAAAGTATGGAAAGAGCCCAAATGTCTCTCGATGGATGAATGGATAAAGAAGATGTAGTATATATATATACAATGGAGTCTTACTCAGCAATAAAAAAGAATGAAATCTTGCCATTTGCAACTACGTGGATGGAACTAGAGGGTATTATGCTAAGTGAAATTAGTCAGAGAAAGACATGTCAAATGACTTCACTCACATGAGGACTTTAAAACAGATGAACATAAGGGAAGGGAAATAAAAATAATATAAAAACAGGGAGGGGGACAAATCAGAAGAGACTCATAAATATGGAGAACAAATAGAGGGTTGCTGGAGGGGTTGTGGGAGGGGGGATGGGCTAAATGGGTAAGGGGCACTAAGGAATCTACTCCTGAAATCATTGCTTCACTATATGCTAACTAATTTGGGTATAAATTTTAAAAAATAAAAAATAAAGTTAACAACAAAGATGTGGTATGTGTGTATATATATATACACAGACATACACACAGACACACACACACACACACACACACACACACACATACACACACTGGGATATTACTCAGCAATCAAAAAGAATGAAATATTGCCATTTGCAACAACATGGATAGAACTAGAGTATATTGTGCTAAGCAAAATTAGAGAAAGACAAATATCATATAACTTTACCATATGTGAAATTTAAGATACAAAAAAGATCATGGGCATGTTAGGTGAGCAAACTAGTGGGGCTTGTTAGCAAACAAGCGTGGATGATAATATCTTAGAGCTTAAAAATTGGAATCTGGACTTAGTGAGCTCATAAAATTATTTTCATGTCTAGGATCTTTGGCTTTACGAGTACTTACTTGAATTCAATTCAAGCCACGCTTAATGGTGTGCATATTTCATTGTTGTAAGTGACAACAAAACATTAATAGAAAGAACCTGGCAAGCTGGGTTATGTTTACATAGCAGAATCACATTCTTTACTTTTTATAACCAGCATAAATATTGATAGTCCTCTCAAATACAGCTAGGGTAACATGTAATTTTATTATCCATCCCTCTAAGACAAAAGTTCTGGTCCATTTCTTCAGTAGATGGGCTGTCTGCTCCTCAATTATGTACCCCAGTGGTTCAGTTCTTCCCTATTATCACCATCACTCCTATTCTAATTTCTCTTATACTCATTCACACTAAAGTTTAAACGGGGAACTTCAGAATGGATACTGATTGCTGGGAACTCTGGAAAGTACTGGATTCTCTGAATATTGGGAAGTGAGGGAAAGGTCAGGATCAAGTGGAATAAAGAGGACACATGTCATCATAAAACATAGATTTTTACACCCTCCTTCTGGGCATGGAAAATTCAAGCTAGATCCAATGGCTTTTGAATCACTGAAAATACAGCTTTCTGGGTTGTGTCGCTTGGGACCTCTGAGCATCTCTTGGGCTCATGCCTCCTCTCCACATTTGTGGTTCATGCACCCAACCGATTATACTCTCTTTTCAGAGGTCTGAGCATCAGTTTGGCAGAAGGTCTCCTCCTGAGGTCTGGGCATCCGTCCTACAAGTTCCTTCCTTTGAGCTCCTAGGCTTTTTTGTTCTCTCTGGTTTCTTTCCTGCAATTAACTATCTGGGATCCCTTAGTACTTCCTTGTTACTCTTTAGCCTTCTGACATGTTTTCTAAACAATTCCCTTTGTTTGAAATTCCTGGTGTGGGTTCTGATTTCCACACTAGATCCTGATTGAAACAGAAGCCTAAAGAATTTGGGGGCCAGATGATAGGACTATTTAGATGCCATTTTATGGTGAGCCTCCCAAGAAAGGTATGTTGACTGATGCGTAATGGAGAGGCTCTTCAATTGGACAGAGGGGACCCAAGAGAGGTGACCCTGGCTGAGCCTGGCTTTGAACACCAGTGTGCCTGAATTCATTTTCACACTGTCTCCTGGGGTGACAGATAAACTGGAAGCCAAAAATGATGGGTTTGATGTCTCCACAGGAAAGGACCATGTTCATCCAAGGCTAACAGGGAGATGGGGGTGAAAAGTATGAGAGGTTGAGCAAGAAGATTCCTTTCAGGGTTGGGAAAAGGGGCTCATGGAAGTGCTTGCCTAGGAGGTTCTATTTTAGCCCTTCCCCCAACCTCCCTGTAGCTAGGCAGTTAAATATGAAGTTGATTCCAGTCTGTCTTTTGAAATTCACCTCAGTCAAGTTAACTTGTGCCTCAGAAGGTTTTCATGCTTGATCTCAGCAGATGGGGTGTGGAGGTGGGAGTGGAGGCATAAAAAAACATGATACAAAAAAAATAATAATAGTAACTGTTACCATTAGTTGAGAACCTACAAATGTCCTGCATTACTAGAACAGAGAGGGTGGGAGAGAAGTTGGGTTCTGGGGCTCTGTTGTTAGAGAAATCAGTGCCAACCATTTTAATCCTTAGGCAGTTCTGGGTCCACTGCATTTTGGGGGCACCAGAGACCAGGTTTGCATCAGTTATGGGTGCACCACTCAGTACCTGTGGCTTCCCAAGGGGATGAGGTGCATCTCTGAGGGGCTGAAAGAGTATAGTAGGCTTTCAGCTTAACCTTTCTTTCAGGGGTGGCCTGAGGTGGTTCAGGCATGGTTGGATGAGTGGGAATGCCATGTGGGAACCCTGACTAAAGCACACAGCTAATTTTGCAATCACAAAACTCCCTTAGTGGAACTGTAAAGGGCAAGCTTGATTGCCCCAGCAGATGGACTTGTGGAGGGCCTGGCATTCCAGGTGTAGCCCAAGTGACAAGGCAGGACAATTGAGCTCCGGGGAAGTCCCGCAGTCTCCCCTTGCTGAGCAGCCTGGGGTCTGTCATCAACTCTATTTCCCCGTAGGTGTGGCTCGGTGCCTCCTTCTCAAGGAGCTCAGGCTGGTCACACTCATGCTGATGCTGTGATTTCTTCATCTGAGTCTCACAGGATCTTCTGGCATATGATTGCCACACCCCACCCAGCCAGGTGGGACCTCCCCATACTTCCCAAATAAATGACAGTCTCGGTCACTGCTCTTGGGAGCTATTGGAGCTGTGATTCAGTCCCCTGCACTTTCGATAAAGGTCCTTCCTTGCCCGCTGATAGCTGGCAAGTTCTCCAGCTCTTCTTTGTGCTTTAGGGCTCAGGGAAGAGATGCGGCCATGCCGGGCTCAGTCCAGCGCGGGGTCAGTGGTTTCCAGGAGTTACTAGGATCTTGGCAGAGATGCCCTGGCCTGGGGCCGCCCCCCCTGCTCCCAGACAGAAGCAGTTGCCGATGGGAGGAAGGAGGAGGGATGCGGGCATCAGGTGGCGGTGGCTTTTTAAGGTCAAAAGTCACGCCTGACTCAGGACCTCTAGGGAGAGATTCTGTCACTGGCTGGATCTTTGGGTGGAGTAAACTCTGTGCCATGTCCCCCTCCCTGACACCACCTTGAAGTTTTGTCTCAGGAGGTGGCTCAGATTTTCTGACTAGGGCTTTGTGTCAGGCCAGGCTTCCAGGCCAGCTCCCTATCCAGAATGGGGACCTCAGTAACTAGTGTCCTGGAAAGGTCTTAGGAATGTCTCCTGACCGACCCTTCTGTCTCCTATTGCTGTCCCCGCAGGTGTGGAGACAATCCCATTATGACATGCATTCGAGGAGTCCCTTTCTGTGGAGAACCCTATACAGCAGGTGATGTTGAGATGGGGCTCTGTACCCACGCCTGTGCCCACACCTGTCTCTTCTGGATGCCCCAGCATTCTCTGCCCCTCTTTGTGCATGACCCTTCCCACCCGGTGCTGTCCATCTTCCACTGGATGGTGGGCTTCCACGGGGTGGGGAGTGGTGCTTATTCTCTGCTCTAGCTCCAGACCCAGCACCGAGCCAAGCACAGAGTAGGCATCAGAAGGAGTACGTGGGCCTTGACTGTACTGTGGGACAGGTTATCCTCTTAGACCAGCTTCAGCCCTGGCCCTCGTCACCACCACCTGTAGCTTTCCTGGAAAGAAGGGCTGGGCTGAGGGTCACGAGATCGCTGCCAGTTTTGGTGTGTAAACCCTCAGCCTTCCTTCCCGAAGGGCCTAGCGTCTAGTAAAGTGGCCTAATTAGAATTTTTCCTCATTATTCTTTTCTATTTGAACCATAGTGAATAAACCTCAGACCGGGGAGGTCTCTGACTTGAATCAGCAGGTGTGGATCCTGCAGGATCAGACCATTGTGACAGTTCCACGGACTGACAGTGTGACTCCAGGTGAGTGGTCATCCTGTGGCTGCTGCCTTGGAGGCAAGGGAGGCGTCATGTTAGCACACATGGGATGCTGGCACTGGCCTTGTGTTCAAAGGCAGCTTTACAAAAGGGTCCACGTGGAGGGGGGAGACTCCCCCACCTGCCTGGGAAGGGGTGTCCTGGGGAGCCGGAGAGCTGCTTTCAGTGACCTGATGGCCTGTTACATGGAAGAGAAGTATCTTATTCTGCCTGACTTCTGGGTATCCTAAAAGGACTCAATGGGTGGGTAACCATGGGAAGGCAGGTTTCAACATCACATGAGGCCAAACTTGCTAATGGACGGAAGTCTTCAAGGAGCAGAGGGGCTGCTTGGGGTTGGAGTTTCCCACCTCCAGGTGGTCCAGCAGGGGCTGCCATCTGTTTAGCTCTTCATTTTGCTCCATTTCCTAGGGCAGTGACTGGTGCATGGTGTGAGTGAATAAATGAACGAACAAATGTCGTGGTTGGCGTTTTGGTGGGCCTGGGGTAGCAGGGATTGCACTCAAGGTTTCTTCCTGCCCCACCTGGGTGATGCTGGCCTCGTCCTGATTTCAAGAGGAAATTGACACTATCTTCCCTTTTGTCCTTCTTAGTCACTGTCACTGTTGTCCCATGCAAGTATCCAGAGTATCTTGAGCAAGGCAGAGGGATTCCCATTTATATGGGAATAGAGAATCCAGAAATGTGTCTGTCTTGTGAGGACATAGGAGGGCAGCCCACATTGCAACTGAAGGTGAGTAAGAAAAATAATGTTATTAAAAAAATATACCAGTTTCTTTCTTCCTTCCTCCCTTCCTTCCTTCTTTTCTCCCTTCCTTCCTCCCTTTCTCCCTCTCTCCCTCCCTCCCTCCCTTCCTTCCTTCCTTCCTTCCTTCCTTCCTTCCTTCCTTCCTTCCCTCCTTTTTCTTTCTTTCTTTCTTTCTTTCTTTCTTTCTTTCTTTCTTTCTTTCTTTCTTCCTTCCTTCCTTCCTTCCTTCCTTCCTTCCTTCCTTCCTTTCAGAGAGAGCAGGGAAGGGCAGAGAGAGAGAGGGAGAGAGAATCCCAAGCATGCTCCGTGCTGCAGTGAGGAGCCTGACATGGGGCTCTCCACCTCACGAGCCATGAGGTCATGACCTAAGCCAAAATCAAGAGTCAGACCAGATGCTCAACCAACTGAGCCACCCAGGTGCCCCAAAAGGCCAGTTTCTTTTATGAGATATTTATTTGGTAGATAATCTAGTTTTAGAAGTAAAAAAAGAAATATTCTCCATTCTTAAACATATTTATTCCTAGATATTTTTGAGTTATCTGCATGCAGTTGCGTTATCCTGCACATCACTAGTTGAGGATCTTTGTCTTTCTTGTATTTTAAGATATTGTCTACCATTGTTTCAAGTATATTCTCTCCTTCATTCTGGCTTCTCTTTCCTTCCTTTTGGAATGCCTATTCCTTAGTCATTGGAACATCTAGATCTCTCTTCAGTATCATCTTATTTTCCATACTTTCTATCCTTTCACTGTTTTGTTTTTTTCTTGTTGCACCCTGGGAGAATATCTTGGTTTAATCTTCCAGGTCATGATTACATTTTAAGTTTGTCCTGTCTGCTTCCTCATTTTCCTATTCAGTTTTCTGAGATTTCAGTCTTTCCTCTTGTTCCTTAAACTTCAGTTTAGTTCGACTCAATTTCATTTCATCCAGTCCAATTAGCTCAGTAAATGTGTAGGTTTTTAGTGGCACAGCACCGTTGTGGCCATTTGAGATATATTGGTGCCCAGAATGGCACAGAGCCCTGCCCTCAGAGGGCGTGGATTCTAGCGGGAGGAGAGAAGTGGTAGACAGTAAGTGTAATGGGTAAGTCTGTGGTGTCTTTAAGGGTGTTATGTCCCGTGGGAAAGCACAGTTAGAACAGGCTAAAGAGACTGGCAGTGCCAGCCCAGGTGGAGTTGGGCTGCCGTAGAAAATAGTGCAGTCGGCATCATCAGATCTTAGCAGACAGTAGAAGGCAAGAAGAGAGTTAGCCAACAGGTGTGAGTGGGAGCAAGTTCAAGAACTAGCGGAGAGAACAGTGTGACAGGAGTGAACTAAGTGGGGAGGAGTTCAGAGAGATAAAAAGGCAGGACACAAAGGGTCTTGCTGGCATTTGTGAGGACTTTGCCTTTCCATCTGAGTAAGATGGGGCATTATTAGAATGTTTTGAGTAGAAGAGTCCCATGCATGAACATAGGTTTGAAAAGAATTATTTTGGCTGCCAGTTGAAAGCAGACTGTGGGGGGGGGGGGGCGGGGGCCAGGGTAAAAGTCCTGTGGGGGGACTTCGAGGTGATCTAGGGGAGATTTGATGGACGCAAGTGGGTAGCAGTGGAGGCAGGCAGAAGCCAGTCAGACTCTGAAAATATTTTATTTAAATTGAGGCAAGAGGACTTGCTGACAGAGTGAATGCTGGGTGTGATGAAAGAGGACTGAGAATTACATTTTCACCTATGTCCTGTCTGCTAAGCCACCCTTCTATTGCGATTTTGTCTACTGTGGTTTTCGATGGATTGAGAATTGACCGTTTCATTCTGCCACATGTGGGTGCTTAGGGACCCTGGTGCCAGCAGTGTTGCTGCAGTGCTGGAGGTGAACGCCCAGACCGAGGGGTTTAAGAGTGGGACAGGAGGAGAGAAACTAGAGACAGCCTATATAGACAACTGTTACAGAGAGTTTTCTGCAAAGGGGGAGTTGGGAAAGGTGGTGGGCAAGCGAGATCATTATTTAAGATAGTAGAATGGCAGCGAATGTGCTAATGGAAATGACGGAGAGAACGCAAACACGAATGGCCGGAAGAGGAACAGCAGTAAGCTGGGGAGGGCAGCTGGGGACTTGCCGCCCAGTCCTTCCCAGGCGGGAGGTTGAAAAGGAGGATGGAGGAGGTGGTGTCAGAGTTTGAAATGAGCAAGTGTCTTTTTATTTATTAAACAGCCAACACATCTCTATTGAATTTCTGTGTGTTGGGATATACAGTGATGAACAACTCTAGCAATAATTATATGATTGATGGATATTCTAAGTTCAGATGGTAATGAGATAGGGAGGAAGTCCAAATGTGGACAAATTATGGACCATCCCTGTGTAGTGTCTCTCTGGAGATCTTGTGTGTGCATAATTTTGCTAAAAATACTTCAATGCACAGTATATAAATACACAAAATGTACTTCTACATATGATATAGAAAGCATTTTCTGATTGCTCTATTTACTGGGTTTGTTTGTTTGCTTAAATACAAATCCTTTGGTTTGTTAGACCCTCTTGTGTCTTTTTTGTGGCACTGACATTCCTCGAGTGTTGGCAGCTGGTCAGAGGCTAATACTGGAACTTTGGTTAGAAGACTGGTTTTGCAAGGTGGCGGCCCTCAACTGTTGCAGCTTTGGTAGGGGAGGTCCTTGGTTTATTGCTGCAGATCTGCAGCTCCTTCTTTTCCCCCCATCAGCCTCTTGTGTGAGATGAGTTCCAATGCATTGTTGGAGTGTGCCCACTTGTTCATTAACCTTTCTTTGTGCCATTCCTACTCCATCTCTGGATTTGAGGAAAGGGACCGAGAAGGTGAGATTCCGTGCTCACTCTGCTGCTCCTTTGAAATGTGTTTTAATAGAGGGATAAGGCTTTCTCTAACTTTGGAACATTTATTGATTGTGCACAAGTAACTCCGAACCGCTAACAGCCTCTGCTTCTCCTGCTGGGCGTTCTCTGTCACGTTTCAGGAGGAGGAGATACTGGATCTGTACAACGAAGTCGCGCCCGTGGAGCCCTTCCTCTTCTACCACTCAAAAGATGGCAGGACCTCCACCTTCGAGTCCGTGGCGTTCCCTGGCTGGTTCATCGCCTCCTCTGAGATCCGCCATCCCCTCTTCCTCACTTCAGACCTGGGGGGAAAGAACAATGTTAACTTCAATTTAAGTATCAATGCTTGACCTCAGCCTGGAGGGGGCAGCTTGGTCAGAGGTCTTTGTTAAATTTCCTAGTTCCCAGCATGCTTTCATTTATATTCTCTCCGTGTCATTTCACGTCAGTGCTGAGAGGTGGGCAGGACCTTGTTATCATCACACTTTGTGAATGACTTCAGGGCAGCCGAGGCATAGAATGTGAGCTCAGACATGGGGGGAAGGGTCATGTAAAGTTCTCCTCTCAAGCTGAAGTTGTCCATCCCACAGCCATCTGTACGAGGGTGTCTGGACCCCAAGACATTAGTGCCTTCTCTGTGGGTGGATACAGAGAAGCGTCAGAGCTCATGATCTGGTGACTAGTGTGGAACTGATTCGTTTTGTTTTCTTTCCTATTTAGATTACATTTTCCATATGCTTTGTATGTTGCCAGTATATTTCACGTTGTATAATGTATCCTTTTAAGGGTTAAGGAACGTTTAAAGGTAAATAATTCTTAACAATAGTTAAACTATTTTTTTCCTAATTCTAAAAAAATTTTTTTTTTCAACATTTATTTATTTTTGGGACAGAGAGAGACAGAGCATGAACGGGGGAGGGGCAGAGAGAGAGGGAGACACAGAATCGGAAACAAGCTCCAGGCTCTGAGCCATCAGCCCAGAGCCCGACGCGGGGCTCGAACTCCCGGACCGCGAGATCGTGACCTGGCTGAAGTCGGACGCTTAACCGACTGCGCCACCCAGGCGCCCCTTTTTTTTCCTAATTCTAATATGTAAACATAAAGCCAAATATAAACTTCATGTGTTTACACAACAGAAAAGCTAAAACTAAGCTGTAAAATGAAGTAGAAAACGTAGTAAACTGAAATTAGCGAGAGTAATTGAATGAGGATAGCTCACTGGGGTTTCACTGGGGAAAGAAGGACCCCTATCAGTGGTGACAGTCCAGGGTGGAGATAATGCATGTAAAAGAACACTACTATATGACTATTTTCTGTACAGTCTCACAGCCTTGATTTCTTTGCCTCTTCTAGACTTTTCCTTTTAGGCATCCACAAGATCTCTTTAAAAATAGCAGTAAAGGTGATGACAGAGCCTAAGGCAGGGCAAACTACAAGCTAGCACACTGCCCCCACTCCCCCAGGTGGCATAAGTGGGACATTCCTTAGGCACTGCTGGCTGCCCAGGGACAAAGGAGAGGAAATAAACAAGTAGCTAACTGATAGAGATCACAGTCATGCAGGACCAGAGTCTCCCTCAGTTCGCAAATATCTTAGTAAATTTCAAGAAAAAGTCAATCTTATCAAATAGCCTAATCTCCAGAAACCTGTAGAATCAGTTTGCTGGAGCCCCAACGTCACCCTTCCATAGTGATATAGGGAACAAAGGCAAGAAGGAAATGGCAGGTAAAATTAAGTGCCCGTATAACCTGCGGCCCATTGACAAATGCTTGAGGCAAATACAGTGTACCACGTTTCTCCAGGAACCCCCTACCGTCCTAATGTTAATGCCTTACTAGAGGAAAACCAACCTTAGCTTGATAATAGCAAGGCCTCAGGTATCTTAGGAGTCCTCTTTAGCATATCAAAGTCCCTCTGGAGGCCTTCCTTTTGTCTTTACCTCCCCCAGTGCCATAGTGTATAACCAGTCACTGTTCACAACCACAGTGCAGCTCTTCCTGCCCACAGGTCCTGTCCGCCTGCTTTAATATCACCTTTTTGCACCAAAGACGTCTTCAAGAATTCTTTCTTGGCCATCAGCTACGAACCCCACGATCCCCACCATCACGCCAAAACTTCATCAAAGGTGCCTTTTCTTGGAACAGAGAGCCTAGCTTTCCCACCGGTCATGCTTCAGATGATGTATCCTGATGAAATTAAATCACTGTGGGTACAATTGTAGAAAGATGTAGCTACATCTGGTTTGTATATAACAGATTTCTTATTTTGACTCTGATACTACAGACACAGGAAGTTCTGTTTGCTTAATACAATTTCCAAAATAGCGCCAGTCACTTACTTTTTTTTTTTTTCTTCCTACTTTTGGACAATCAGACCACATACTCTACTAAGCAGGCCAGTAAGCAATCAGTAAGCCCCGATTTAATGCAACATCTCTTGATTCTTTGAAGTTTTCTTCCTCAATTAAATATAGTTTTAGCATTGCAGTTTTATTAAAAAACAGCATTAAAATGGGCACTGAGGTAATTAGTTCTGGAATATTAAATAGGAGAATTGGTTATTGAATATTTACTACTATACTCACTGCTCATAAATGGTGATAGCTTCTTATATCTGACCATTTACATTGTTACACTGTCAGTTGTTACATCTGCCAGTTGGGTTCCAATAACACATTTGCTTGTGACGTGATTATCGTCTGAGTGTTACAGCACCTCCATCCTCCTACAGGCTGTGTGGTGATTCCATTGTCCCATCTCTTTACCACGAAAACTGCATGCAGGTGCTGTGACACTTTGGATTGTCACTTAGCACAGATTTGAGCTCAAACAAAAGCTCAAATATGAGTCCTGGTGTCATGTAACTGGTTATCCTGATGGTCCAGAAGAGGTTCTGATAACATATTTAGAGTGTAATCAAAATGAAAACATAGTAGTCTCTAGCTTGTGGAGCCTGGAGAGCAGACCTCCAGAGACCGACCCCCCCCCCCCCCCCCCCCCCCCCCCCCGCTTATCCATCACGTTTGTGAAAGACCACAGCATATGAAATCATAGAAAGAACCCTATGAGTAGCAACGTCCTCGTTTTCAGGTGAACACCTGTTTTTCACACATCTGAATATCCAATGCTCTTGCATTTGGATTCCGTGAGCTCCAGGCCAACACTCACTGAAGGATTTGGTTCTTTTGCATCTTTGGTATGAAGGGCTTGATGCCCTGTGTTGGGGGAGGTCATTGAGAGGATGTGACCACCAGCTGACCCATGAGCTGGACCCTGGCAGCTGGAGGCTCCTCACCCCCTCTCCTGTCCTTGCAGTGTGTGCTCTGGGTGCCTTCCTGGCTCCCAGAAGCTGCCCCAAGGACATAGCCTTGAGGCAGTGTAGTGATGTGATGTTGAGACATCTGGACGGTGCCTGTGGCTGAACCCAGTTAAAGCTTCTATATAAATTTTTAATATTCTAGTGGGTGGGTATGGAAATGTACTCATCTTACAGCTGCCCCAAAACAAGCATCATATATAAATTCCCTTGCTTATTAAACTTGCCACCTACAGATCTGGGGTGAATTACTTCTTTCTTTGGTCTCAATCCTGACCTACCCATATGAGGACTGGTTTCAGATTACACTGGGAAGCTCCTGAGAAGGTGTAATCTAAGAGATTACACTGAGAGAGGGGATTTTGGATTCCAGGAAGGAATTTAGAACCTTGCCACCAAAATCACAATTGCAGTGAAAACAGTTGAGTGGGATGTTTTTCTGCTGAGCTGCTTTGGGGCTTGTATCTTCCGGCACCAGGATGGCTGAAGGGCAAAGACCACTTCCTGAAGCTGGACTTGAAGATACTGTCCCTGAACTCACAAACGATTGGGCACAGGGACTAAAGACGCTGTCCCCGGGACACTGAGAACAGTGGCTATAATTAATGATCCTCATGTCAATAAAACATTACTTTTTATTTCTCAGCCTTTAAAGAGTTGTTTAAAAGGAGATTCTTACCAAAGCAATACATGTCTATGATTGAAAACAATATCCTGCCCCGATCATATTTCCATGAGGCAACTGCTAAGTCTTTTTCAGCTCTTTTTCCTCCATGTGTCTAGGTATATGTTTTACTCCTATTTCTTGAATTACCAACTTTAGACATTATCTTTTCTTTTTTTAAAAAAAGTTTTATTTAATTATGAGAGAGAGAGAGTGAGCACAAGTGGGAGAAGAGCAGAGAGAAAGAGGGAGACACAGAATCTGAAGCAGGCTCCAGGCTCTGAGCTCTCAGCACAGAGCCTGATGCAGGGTTTGAACCCACGAACTGAGAGATCATGACCTGAGCCAAAAACGGATGCTCAACTGACTGAGCCACCCAGGTGCCTGAGACATTATCTTTTTTACCAGGCAGATGGCATTTGCATCCCTACTATACAAAAATCATGTGCTCTTTATCTATTTGCTAAAGTTAATAGAAGTAGTAAGTCAAACAAAATATATTTATAGAGAGTTAGATAAACTTTGGGTGGTCCTGTTAGACAATGCTCTGGTATGACATTGGAAAGGCACACAATAATCCTTTTGCCTTTTTCAGAATTTGGATAACTTCTCTGAATGATATCATTTTCCTTCAGCCTTTTCTTTTTAGGGGTAAGGAATGCGGGGGGAGGTACATGGAGTGGAAGCGACTTGCAGTGACCATTAGTAGTAGGTTTGGAAATGTGATACTCTTGATTTCAATTTCCATCTCCTGGTGTTGGGGTGTTATGAAGCACTGTTTGAGAAATTAGCAACAATTACCCAAAGCAAGACAGCAGAATAAAGTATGATCCCCCTTGTTCCCATCATTGGGGCTGTCTAGCAGGGTGTCAGCAGATGACCCACCCAGGGTGGAACATTCCTGGCCACCGAAACATTGTTATGTAATGGTGTAAGTGCTGAAATATATTGTGTATCTATATTTCTCAAACTTGAAGTAATATCAGAATCATCCGGGGTCTGAACTACAAGCTCAGGTGTTTGGGCTCACTCCGGACCCAGTAAATTAAAACCTATTCCCTGCGTAATTCCTACTTAGTAGGTTTAGAGCAGGGCTGAAGAATCAATATTTTACTAATGACCTTAGGGAATAGAATGCACTCCCACTGTTCACATGCCCACAGGGCAGCTGAAGACAAAGCCTGGCTAAGGTCAACTAGCAGAGTGATTTTATTTGCTTGGGTAGCCAGTGACTCTTCTGTGGTTGATGCCTTCTGGCGGACATTAACAAAAAAATACAAACATCTTCGCATTTTGTGCGCATTCCCATATGTCCATCCACATGTCTTTACTCTATATCTCTTTATCTTTTAGTCTTCTGATCAGTGAGCA